AGGTTTGACATTATCACAATTATTCTAGATAATTTTGATTATTCAATCTCCAAAAAAGTGTTATCCTGGGAATATTTATACATGTTCTTGCCTTACTTGTACACTGTATGTTGCGTAGAAAGTTTGAGTTGATTCTGATCAAATTAGATTTTATTATGAATTTTTGAAGCTGCTCAAAAATTTAGCAGAAGACCATGGAATATGTTATTGTCCAAGTACATGTACATGTAGCTCAAATTAATGTTGGTACTACATTAACAAACTTATTCTCATTCAGGAAGTACTTGTACATACATGTACATGTATGCTGTATTTCTCCAGTAATTCATATTATATTCATTAATGAATGTCTTGCTTTATGTAGATGGACGTAGTTCACTTATTAGTAAAAGAAAGCCAGCTGCCAAGCCTAGTGTAAGTGAATACCACAATTAAGCTCCAATGTGTATTGTGAATTCTTTGTTTAGTTTGGTAAAGGACTAGGAGCCCAGAAAGTCAACAGGAGTTTCTCTGAGATTGAAAAACAAGCAGAGGAAGAACAGAAAACACTAGAAAAGCAAGCAGCTGTCTTTACTGAAAAAAGCCCCCACCAAGACAAGTAAGAATAGAATACCAGACTTGGAGGAGAGAGAAAAAGCACCTGTCCTTACTATAATAAGGTGGCAACTAGCCCCCTATACTACACTAGCAGCTCCTTTTATGTGTTATAAGATTCTTTTTAATGTTGTGTTCTAGGACAGAGTTTGCTGTTCAAGTTGATAGACAGAAGATGGCCTCTCTTGATCCAATGAAAGCTAAGCAGGCAGAAAGGCTAGGTATGGGGCTATCTCGTGCAAGGTACTAGCAAAGTTATATTTGTATATACATGTACATGTATCAGTAGAGCTGCTACATTAACCTTACATGTACTGTACATGTACGTGTATGTACATGTACATCAGGGTTTCTTTCCCATTGGATTTTGGCATAATGCTTACTGCTTACTGCTTCTTTTCATTTAACTTCATCAAAAATTGCACCAAAGGCCCTATAGCATATGTATGCTATAGGGACTAAAAAGTTCTTCAATTTTTTGATGTACATGTATATGTACATATATTTATGTTGTCTAAATATTTTGAGCAGATTCTGATCAAAATTGGATTTATTATGAATTTTTGAATTCGCTGGAAAATCGGGTCAAAGCTACTGTACATGTACATGTAGATCCTGCATGTACTATTGACTAGAATGCTTATAACTCAAAAATTATTTGTTGGAAACACCTCAAACTTTCTACATAGCATAAGGACATCAATGTGTATCGGAAAATGTAATAAAAATTTGGAGTGTTTTCGGAGCCATTTTTTGGAAAAAACCATGGGCTATAGCCTTGGGTATTTTTCAAAAATTGGCTCATTTTTAAAAATGCTTGTAGCTATACCTTTGCTTTTTTTCAAAAATTGGCTCATTTTTAAAAATGCTCATAACTTGAAAAATATTTGTTGGAAACAGCTCAAACTTTCTACACAACATAAGGACATCAATGTGTATCATAAAATGTAATAAAAATTTGGGGTGTTTTCGGAGCCATTTTTTGGAAAAAACCCTGGCCTATAGCCTTTGCTTTTTTTTCAAAAATTGGCTCATTTTTTAAAATGTTCATAACTCGAAAAATATTTTTCGGAAACAGCTCAAACTTTCTACACAGCATAAGGACATCAGTGTGTATCGGAAAATGTTATAAAAATTTGGGGTGTTTTCAGAGCCATAGGTCTTGCTCATGAAGTTTGCTTTTAGCTCACTTGGCATACTTTTTATTGGAAACCCTCATGTACAATGTACATATTAAAAAATTGATGGAACTACTCAACTATGGGCCTTATAAACTTTTTTGGCAAAGTACATGGAGTAGTTCATGGTTTTGACTATTATTTACATGTACATGTACATGTATATTTTCATGAATTGATCATTAGTTTTTTGCTATTTTTCTAGCACTACTAGCAGCGGTAGCAGCCATTCAGCATTCAGTAGCACGAGTACCATTGATCAAGTGAACCCAACGAGTAGTAAAGGCTCAAGATACAGTAGCCATTCATCAACATCAGTACCTGTTTCTCATTCAAATGATCTCTTTGATGAATATGGACTTGATGATCCACCTTCCTCCAGGTAATAACAATTAAAAATTTTAAAAAGTTATGCTTGTTTAAAAGTTATAATAATGTCAGTAGATATTACAATAATTTTAAAAACTATAATTGAAATAATAGAAATAATAGTCATTGTTGTGCTGTGCTCTATCACTGCTGCTTCTGTCTCTCTTCCTTCCTTCCTTCCTCTCTCTCTCTCTCTCTCTCTCAGATTTGATTCTGATTATCCCTCAAGGTATGACAGAGGAGGCTCCTATTCTTCTGGTGGTTTTGGTAGGAAACAACCAACAAATGACCCAAAGTAAGATTTTAATTAAAAAACCACACAGTTACTGTCACATACAGTAGATCTGTTGCAATTATAAATGCATTAATTTTGTTAATTACTGTGAATGAGGTTTTATTTTAGTATTGCATGTACATGTATTCACATGGATCATGTGTCTTTTATAGGTTCAGTAGTCACAGTGCATTTGGGTCACCTTCAAGAGGTTCCAGTAGTAAGCAGCAAGAGCCTCCTGACACTACTGGATACACTGGCTCTTATTCAGGATACAAAGGACGGAGTCAAAGAAGGTACTAGTCACTTTAAAGTATTTGTGTGAATAAACAATAATGAAATTAGTACCATATTTTATTTATTGTTTTTGATTATTTTTAGTACTAATGTCTCAAGTGATAGTAGCAGTACTAGTGCCCAGGAGAGGTTTGCAAGCTCCAAGTCAATATCCTCTGATCAATACTTCAACAGAGGGAATGGGAGCAGTGTTGATGTAAGCTACCCTATACGTGGAAATTTTTGAGCGGATAAATTTTTGCAAATAACGAGTTTGCAGGATTTCGTGAGGCCATATTTTCACGAATTGTTTTGAAGTGTCACCATTTTGTAATAATTTGGAGAGTTAAAATTAATATTTGTATGTTTTATTTTTGCAAAATTTGTGAAAATTTATTCCCTCGAAAATTTCCATGTATAGAGTAACAGTGCTCCTTGTGTATGACAATGATTATTATTATTATTATTAATTTTTTATTATTTTGTTTTCAGAGTGGCAGTGCAGAATTCTCTCGATTTTCATCATCTAATGCCATATCAAGTGACGATTATTTTGGTCGGACCCCAAAACGTAATCAATAATAATAATAACGATAATAGATGAATGTACATCATTTATTGTATTGCTTGTATTTTCTTTGTATAGAATCTTCTGATGGAGGATCATCTGTGTCTGATGTAGTCTCAAAAGTAAAGATTCACTTTTGTACATTAGCAATTATCATTAGTTAATATTATTTTTCATTTATTAGCTTACTGGGGCTGCTAATGGTGTATGGGGCTCACTTCAAGTAAGGAGGAAATTGTTTTGTTGTTTTTATTGTTTATTATGTCTTCTCTCTCTCTTATCTTTCTTTCATTTTAGGATCAGTACAGAAATTATTCCCATAAGTATTAGATCAAAATGATGATGTCAAATGTTTAATGCATTGCTTAATAACAATTCCTGCGTATTTGAACTGTTTCATTTTCAATATAATAATAATAACAATAATAATAATTATTATCACAATAGGCTTCTTTTATTAATGATTAATTATTATATCATGGTTTTTCGCCGACAAATAAATTAATTCACAGATAATAGTAATAATAATTTCATAAAACAATTTAATGACAACAATACATGTAATTATTGGAGCTGTAGAAGTGGTTAACATCGAGTACTGTCATCTGATACTTCTGGTCTGTCTCGATTCTAAAAATAGAATATTAAAATCAGATAAAATTCAAATAGTTTTAACACTATTGTTTACACCTTGTTAACACCTCTAGGTGTTAACAAGGTGTTAAAATAAAGTATTGTTTTTTTTTAAATAAGAAAAATTTTTGTTCTATAGCCACATACTATTGTACAGCCAGAAAATTTTGAAGGATTAAACTTTTACAGATACACCCACAAAGCATTTATGTAGATTTAATTTACACTAATCAAAGCATGGTATAAAATATGCAGTTACTAAAAATAGCAGTTATTAAAATTCATCAAAATAATATTATTTGTTAGTATAAGTTGTTTACATTGTATATGTATTGTTGTTATTTATTACATTAATTCATACCTGTATGGTTGCTTTCAATAAGTCAACCCATTGGGAGCAATCCTCTTCATTATTAGCAAAGAAAAAGAAAGTGCGTTCTGGCAAAACAAGTCTAGAAAACCATAACGATGATGATAACAATGATAATAAAAATACCCTAAGACTAATAATGGTCAAAAATTGGGCCAAAATCCCTGTACTATAGAACAGCAAACTTTATCAAAAATAAAAAAAGTAGAGAGTTCCTGATTTTTATAATTTTTTCTGATACATATACATGCACTTATGTTGTGTAGAAAGTTTAAGCTGATTCCAAACTACAAATACCATTCACTTTTAGTCTTTTACCTAAATCCGAAATCTTTACCAAAAGAAGGATCATAGTCAGCAGAAATTCCTCTGAGAACGTTAATACTTCTGATTGGCTTGGGTGACTATTAGAATACATTGTTATCATTACATTGTTGTTGTTGTTGTTGTTGTTGTTGTTGTTGTTGATTCTTACTTGCTTTGTTTTGTAGTAACTTAGAGTCGTGTTACGTAGGACAAACCATCTAACTTTCCAATTCTAGAGGAGACAGGACATCAAAACATCTTAATTAAAATGTTTTTCACCTTTTTAATTTTTCCTAACTTTGTTAAGTAACCTTCTCTGGATGCCACCTGACAGTTATCACATTAGAAATAAACCATACAGCAACAAAGGGAGGGAAAGAGAGAGAGAGAAAGAAAAATAGACACTGTATCGAATACAGATAGTCAGTTCCAGTTATAATTCTTAGCATATTTCATATTATGTATTGCAATAAGGAACAAACTATAGTTACTGCATCTACATGTACATGTACAGTAGATTAACATTCTTTACATTGCACATCTCACATACAACGTAGTTGTACATGTGAAAATAGTAAAAGTATAAGTAATATCTAAGTAATTTTAGCATTTACTGACACAATAAGGTAAAATCTCTTAAAATATGAAACAAACAGACTGTAAGGTAAGTCTTGGACATTCAGAAGAGAGAGAGAGAGAGAGGGATAGAAAAAGAAGTAAGGAAAATAAAAAAATACCATCTAGTACACATAATGAATACACAATGAATTACTGCATGGCTCCAGAGTAGCACTAACCGGTGTTATTTGTTGTAATCTTCTGTGTAAACTATCCAGTTCAGGAGATGAATCAGTATCGGGTAAATCATAACTGTCACTGTCTGACTCTTCAACTACAGCATTATTAACCATCCTAGTTACAGCATGATGATGCACTTCCGTGTACAAATGCTGCTCATCAACTTCACGCGAATACGGATAACTTAACACAACGGTGATCCCTGAGGATAGATAAAATAAAAGAGAGTAATGCCAAATAATATTACATGTATATTATATTACATTATATTATATATTATACATGCAAGCAAGAGTGCATAACAGTACTAAATATGTGTACCAATTGTTACATCTAGAGTATATAATAGCAAGGCTGCAAAAGTTGTGGCAGCCATTTTGAAGTGGGGTGAATCCTACTTAGTAATGCTACCACGTTACTAATAATATACCTATTGTATAGTGGGTACGGCATAGAAGTAATCTTTGTCAAAGTGAAAGGGCATTTTATCAATTACCATTATCAAACAATAACAAGAAGATAGAAATACACATGTATGCAATGATCAAAACAACATGTTGCCTTTTGCCAAGTTTAAATCAAAAAATAAAATATTAATGATGACAAGCAATCAGTACAGTTGTATTGAGTAGGGCCATGATGTCCTTGTATGCTTCAGTTAACAATAAAGTATCATCAATAGGTGCATTTTCCCACTATCTTTTTGCTACTAAAGAATTGTTTGTACATGTGGTAATGTCCATTGGAAAATAATCTTAGCATTACTATACTGTGAGCTTTCAAGTTTAGATAGCAATAGGGGAGTGCTATTACAAACGTTATACCTGACTCTCCACCAACGATCGGTCTCTCTAACTCAAAGTGCTTCTTCAGAGCATTCACATTGTCAAAGAAACTCCTCCCAAACTGATATCTGTTGTCCGGGAGTCGCTTGACCTTCATGTGTTGAACTGATTGAGAGAACCTACAGAAACATACACAATAACACAAGGAACTGATGGAGAAATGAATGTTCAGGGTTCAAAAGAGGAGGCACTATTATAAGATTTCCCCTGTCCTCATGTATTACAAATACATGTACATGTACATTACTCATAATCACTCGTGTGCATTATCTCTTGCTACTCATGACCAGATGTTTGCGTGTTTGTGCATCTCCCACCATGTCTATACATGTGGTCAACATGTGTTTGATGTTGATGGTTGACATACTTGACTGATAGAGTATACTGATCCTTGCCACCAGTTGCTGATGGTCTGAGGAGGTAAGAGCCTTCAGGAGCGTTGTCAATCAGCATGCATTCAGCTGAGTGTCTTGTTAGAAATGGATGAAACCACCTAGCGATAGTCATAAGGTCAACAGTGGCAAAAAAGATGACTTTAATGTAGTGTTGTTTTAGTTACAAAATGTGACTTTTAGTTAGTAATAGTTAGTTATGAAGCTTTAGATTTTGATTTTAGTTAGTTTTAGTTAGTTATGCTTCAATAAAAATAATTTTAGTTAGTAATAGTTAGTTTTTAAAATTTCTAAATCTTTTTAGTTAGTTATAGTTAGTTTAAGTATTTTTTAAAAAGATTTAGTTAGTTATAATTAGTTAACTAAAAGTAAAATCTGGCCTAACTAAAAGGGTTTTAGTTTTAGTTATAGTTACCTAAAACATTTTTACTAGCTACAAGTAGTGAAGTACTAGACTGATAAGTACTTCTATGTTTTAGTTTGAACTTTAGCCATTTTAGTTAGTAATAGTTAGTTTTGCAAATTCTATAATACTTTTAGTTAGTTATAGTTAGTTTTTTAAATTTTTAAATATTTTTAGTTAGTTATAGTTAGTTTTAAAATTTTTTAAAAAGTTTTAGTTAGTTATAGTTAGTTAACTAAAAGTAAATCTGGCCTAACTAAAAGGGTTTTAGTTTTAGTTATAGTTAACTAAAACAACACTACTTTAATGAAACGGATACAATAATTGTTGACATTGTCCCACATCCAATTACATGCTTCTTTCTAGCCTGCATACATTATATAAGCTACAAGTGCATATATAAAGGTCAAATTTTTAGATTTGTATTTTACTAAACAGTTTATCATAAATAGGCCGAGGCAAGTCTTCCTATGTGAATTACTTAAGGATAAGCTCTCACTCTTTCAATTGTAGTTCAAATACAAACAAGGCTGTTGTATAGATTCATTTCTTATCCCCATTACATAAACATGATATGTATTTTTCCAAGGACAATAACAATGATTTACTATCTATGGTTTACTTCATTTTCATCATTGGGTCGCTAAGATAAGCAGTTGAACTCTCACTCGATCGAGACACGCTGGTAGCTCTGGGACTGGCAGAAGACACAAACGGCTGGTTTGACATTTCAGCCATCGTTACTGCTGGTCCAGTCTGCCTAAACCCTCCTTTTGAGCTAAACTGTCCCTTCCCTAGCCCAGCTTCTCCGTTGCTTGCTTTGCTTTACTTAAGAATGAATGAAATTAAAATTTTCTTTAACAATAACAAAGGATACGTTAAAAAGGATATAAAACGGCAATAAAAATGTGAACAATGAACACACAACTCTACACTACTGTAGTACAATACACTGAATCAGTATTTCCAGTCACATATCACACATCATCTTGTAAAGCAACGGATTCATCCCTAGCATCTCCATCATTGATACCAGTGTAACTGCTAACAAGGCTCCTTGCATTCCTTGGAGATGGGGAAGAGCCTCCTATGCCTTGAGTAGCATCATCATTCTCAATTTCCACATAATTACTCTTCCCACCACCACGAACAGTAAAACCCCGTCCTCTTCTCTGCTTCCTTTTCTTCCAGAGCCCATATGCACCAAATACAGCAAGAGCTACTACTGTACATACAACAACTGTCACTGAAACAGATACAACTATAGACACTGTAGATGAGCCACTGCTGCTGTCTGAAGTGAAGTTACCAGAAGGATCAACGATCGCTCCTGATGCTTGCAGCTGTTGAAGGAGCTCCTTACCAGTGATAGACTGAGAGTCATCCTTCACCCATTCACCGGATTCCTCCTTGATCCAGAACTCACCGTATGCTCCTTGAATAACAAGACTTTGGGTGAGGTTCTTCTTGAGTATAGACTTGGAGCGATAAGGAGGCAGAAGAGGTAGAGTGATGGAAAACTGACTCCTGATCTTTGCACAATAACTTATCTCACATTGCTCATCAACTGTTGCTAGAACTCTCTTGTATAACTTTGGGCAGCGTTTAGGAGCATTAGCAGGAGTCAGGTGACCACTTTCACGCATTGCAAGAGACACAGCTAGGGGATTTCCTGACTGACAGCTTATGAAGCCTCCAAAGGGAACAGCATAAGCAGCACCTAACTCATACTCGGTGCTTAAACAAACTTCCATGTTTTCCCCAAGACGTACTGCATAGAAATGATTGGGGCAAGACATTGATTTTGTGACCGGGTTGATGCTCTTTGCTGTATAAATGCCTCCAAACATGAATCCATGACTGCTCTCAACTTCGCCTTCAGCCACACACCAATAGGCCTGATAGTTAGCAGCACTCATCACATTGATAGTTGCCTGCATGCACTGACAGCACCTGCCCCAACCAAAGAGATGGCAGTGATGACAGACATTGTGGCATATAGATTTCTTACTGACACCAGTTATCGTTCCATTGTGCAGCTCTATAGCAGTATAGCCAGCTGGGCATGAGAAGTTTCCTGTTAGCGGATTACGTTGAGCTCCACCCTTAGCACAGAGATCTTGATAATCAAGACCAGGTTCTACCTGGCATGTTTGATAGACGCCACCAAAGCTGTAATTTGTGAGAGGTTGATCACAGGATCCGTCGTTAAGATTTGCTTCATATTCAAAGTTTGGCGAGCTGGGATCTGTGCAGCCGTAGTGAGTATTAACACTGTAATATCGATTAACGGCATAGTAGACGTAATCAACCAGTTCTCTAAGCGTAGGACTAGGCAGTTCAGGAAGACTTTCAGGGGTCAAGGCATAATGAAGAGGTTCCCCTTCTCTATCGATAGCAACAAGATTATCTGGGAGACCTTCAGCCCACTCGTCAAGTGTCATATTAGGATGAAGTATGGGACCTCCAATAGAAAAAATTTGAGAATGTGTCACAGCAGTTTCGTATGCTGTAGTGTCGGCATTGGAGTGAGAGAAAGCTGTTGAAACACCGACAGAAAACATACCACTATAAAATGAGCCAGAGGCTGCAGCAGTAATTGATATCAAATCAGAATCTTTATCTAGTACGTAAGATTTTTTGATGGAGTCAATCTGTGCAGCAAGCCCACCAGCTTTAACTGATTTAACGATATGAGTACCATAATCCCTGACAAGCACGTCAGACAAGTAGCCGGCATAGAATGTGTTGTTGCTCTGTATGTTAGCTGCAATATCAAGTAGACGGGTCTTAAATCTGGTGTCTAATTGAAAGCCAGGCTGAAGGACGAGCTTGTAGCGATCAGCACGAATCTGTGTTCTAGTGGTCTGTGATAAGCTATTGTACTGATGCTCTTTGACTGTTTGATACTCAAAACCAAACTTGCCACTGATCAGTGAAAAGGCACTGGCTTGAACATTGATGGAAAAAGAATCCATTGAAGTGTAGTCGTCCCAATGTGCAAAGAAAGAAGCAAGCGTATCCACCCGGGCCCTCTGGAGAGGAATAACGAGAAAATCATCTGGAACGAGATATTGCCCATCATTGGTGACTTTACATTGGGTGTAAGACCTCTTAGCGATTGAACTCATCTCGTGATTCCTGAGGTTGTCAAATCCTTGACCAGGCAGTGCCTCCATGCGAAGGAGGGGTTCGTTCCTCCCCGGCTGTGTGCTGGGACAATTCCTAATGTCGCCGACAGGATAAGTAGCAGGGCTAGAGCCATTTAGATCACTCGACGCCGTCACAAAGACAAAGAAAAGAAACCAACAGCAAATCTTCTTCATATTTCCCAGCTGCGCTATCTAAGCAATTGACAAATCGAGCAAAGCCTGTTTATACAAGACAATTATCACGTGGACATACTTAATGAGCCACACCCTCACTCTGCTGCAGCTAGGCTAAGCTAGCTCTGCTTTGTGCACTGATATTCATGCTCTATTGATTAAAGGTCAAGTCAAGAAGATGTCTTCATACAAAGCGGCTTTCATTCTCTTGTGCACCACTGCCTGTCTTGCAGTTCCTCCACCTCCAGGACCAAATATTGTCATGATGCTTGTTGATGACTGGGGCTGGGCTAATGTTGGATATCATCGGAATCCACCAACCAAAGAGGTTGTGACTCCAAACATTGATAGTCTAGTGAGACAAGGTCTGGAGCTAGACCAGCATTATGTCTTTAATGTTTGTTCTCCTTCAAGATCTTCGCTGATGTCTGGTCGGCTACCAATTCATGTCAATGATCTCAATATAGAACCAGATTATTATAATCCTGACGATCCTGTCTCTGGATTCTCTGCTATACCCAGAAATATGACTGGAATTGCACAAAAGATGAAACTTGGCGGCTACGACACTCATCAAGTTGGTAAATGGGATGCTGGAATGGCTACACATACCCATACACCAAAAGGGCGTGGATTTGATTCCTCTTTTGGCTATTTTCATCATGCCAATGACTTTTATACTGAAATAGATGGTAAACCATGCAATAAGACCAAAATTGTTGACATTTGGGTCACTGACAAACCGGGCTATGGTTTGAATGGTACAGGCCCAGATAATTATGAAGAAGGTTTGTTTAAAGAGCAGCTCCTTAAAGTTGTTAATGAGCATGACACAGGGAAGCCATTGTTTCTTTACTATGCTCCTCATATTGTACATGCACCACTTCAAGTACCACAGAGATATCAAGACAAGTTTAGCTTTATTGACGATCATGATCGTCAAATCTATCATGCCATGGTAAACTACCTTGACGACGTTGTAGGCGAACTTGTTGATGCACTCAAGAAAAAGGGACTTTGGGAAAATCTGCTATTCGTCACTAGTAGTGACAATGGTGGACCAGTGTATCCTGGAGGTGGTGCCAATAACTATCCACTGAAAGGAGGGAAGGCAAGCGACTGGCAAGGAGGAATACGTTCCAATGCTTTTGTATCAGGAGGCTATCTTCCAGAGAAAATGAGAGGCAAGAAATTGGATGGGTATATTCATCTTGCTGACTGGTATGCTACATTCTGTGCACTAGCTAATGTCGATCCAACAGATGAGGCAGCAGCCAAAGCTGATCTTCCTCCGATAGATAGTTTAAATATGTGGCCACTAATTTCAGGGGAAACCATGACATCGCCACGTGTTGACATACCCATCTCATACAAAACTCTAATCAGTGGCGAATACAAAATTCTAACTGGTACAAATAATCAAGCTGGATATACCGGGCCACAATATCCTAACCAAACCAATCCTAACGGAGGAATCAACATTTTTCAACAATGTGGAGATGGCTGCCTCTACAACATTATGACCGATCCTGAGGAAAGGGTTGACCTGGCAGCAAAAATGCCAGATAAACTCAAGGAAATGCAGCAGAAGCTTGCCCAGTACCAAAAAACTCATTTCGCACCAGATCGTGGCAGCCCCTGGCCTGGAGCATGTGATGCTGCTTTAAACACATACAATGGATTCTGGGGACCTTTTGTACCTTAAAAACATGTAAAATGCTTGCTATTACTATGCTACGCAGCTACAGTCCTTGCTATTGCTGTACTATAATAGTACTTGCTATTGCTGTACTATATTTATAGATACTTGGCCAAATTATCAGCTAAAAATTCAAAATAAATTTTCTGTTTCCGCTGTTTGATATTTTATATAGTGAAACTGAATGTAAACTTTTTGTTTATGATTCCATTGCAGCTGTAGCAATTACTTTCCCTCCTAAGACCTTGGCCTTGCGCAGTGGAAAAAACTCGGTCTTCTGTTCTTCGATCTAAGGCCACAATTATGTGCATAAAAGAAATGAGCTACATTTTGTAAAGCTTACATTATCACTGATGTACTTCTCAATTGCATTGTGGTCATTTTTATGGATTGAGTCGAGATGAAGGTAGAAATAAACGTAGTTCCACATGTTGTGATCAAACAGTACATGATGAGTGAACCCCTATATAATGATTGGATAGACAAATAGTGTGGAAAATTCCCTTCTTACTTCAGCATTTCTTTCAAATGTGTCATTATCAATACCACATATAAAGCAACAGTTTCTCTGATCCCTGTTTATCTTATCCTATTAACAAAAGAGAAATACTTTCTTTATCTTATTTCATATGCTCACTGACCCTTTCACTCCTTAATTCAGAGAAACGATCGATAATAATCGCAACTACTACATTTAATCCAAGGATTGTGATGATGATGAAAAAGGTTAAGTCAAAAACAGCTCTTGAAGTATATAAAGAAAAGGATGGCTCAGATTGATTGACGTATTGAATCGGAATCATCTGTATACAAAGAAATAGTTTTGTCATAATAAAAGTTCATACTATTACTTTCAAAATATAAATTTGTATCTTACTATTCCCAGAGTGTCCAGAAGTCCCTCTCTGATCACAGACACATAACACTCCACCATTGTCTCACAGAATCTATGCACATTATCAAAGTAATTGTGCCAGAGAATGAATGAGAAAACAGCAAAAATGAGCAGGATGCTTAATCCAAGGAGAGCAACAGAAATCAACTGAAGGGCTATACAGGGATAGAAAATAAAAAGCATAAGTGCTGAGAACTAGGAAATTATGTATGTGTTGTATATGAACTCACCACTTCTGGCAAGAGCTGTTAAGACATAATTTAATACATTACTCCTTATAAATACATATAGTATGCAACCACAGTAGAAGTAACTCGATGTGGTAAGTGCAGCAATTGAGAAGAGTAGGAAAATTATACGATAAAGCGTAGAAAAACTGAAGAAATTAACTTTAAAATAGTTAGAATTTTTTTGCTTATTGGTTATTAAAAACTGAACAATCTTCATCATTCCATGCTCAGAAAGGAATACCATCAAATTACTGATTATATCCAAATTTCTACAAAAATAAAAACTACATCCAATAGATTAACAATTGTGTTTACTTACAATATTTCAGACAGTAGTGGTATTCTAATAAATATATTAGGTGCAGCATAAACACAATATTCTGTGACCATCCATATTGAGAGGACTAGATGAACAGTTCCAAGTATGTACAGTAGATAATCAGAGAACCATGATGCCACGCTAGGAACTAAAACAATTTCTCTCTCAGTGACGACTGTGTAATTTGCACTTGAGTTGTCACTAAAATCATAAAAAAATATACTGCATCTCTTGCTAAACTTTAAAAAAATACTTTTCTGGTATCTTGAAAAGGAATAAAACAAACAAGTTAAGCAACAATGTGAGGTAGAAAAGAAGAATGTGCCTCATGTTCCTAATAATAATAATCAAAAATCAAATTAAAGTAATGATGTGTTTACAGTATCTATAAATACTTACGATCCAGCTACTGCCCAATACATGTATCGATTATTATTAATCATGGCCTAATGATGATAAATCATTATCAATACAAGCTACTTCTTTCACTATACCTTGTGTTTAACATTTTTCTTGATTGCCTTCATCCATTTGAGGAGGTCCTTTACTTTATCTTCCAGAGTATCCCGTTTGATATTTTGCAGGACTAGGGACTTCTCACTTTCAGTTAACTATTTTAACAAGTAATTGAACCAAAATTTTGATCAGAATCTAGCTCAAACATTCTACACAACATAAGAGTGTGCATATGTATCAGAAATAATTTTGAAAATAGAGAACTCTCTCCTTTTGATTTTAAGCCTTCGGTCATTGGCCATATCTTTGAGCAACTTTTAAAAATTATAAAAATATAATTTTGATTGAAATCAGCTCTCAAACTTTTTACATAGCATAAGAACAAAAATTAATTTTAGGCACACAAACTTACAACAGGAGCAAATTGAAAATACACTTTTGTCAATAGTTCTTCTCCATCTCTTGTAATATAGTTGATTTCAATGCTTCTAGAGTAGTTTTCAAGGTATGCCCACAGGTCTTTCATCACTACATCATTCTTGCACAATTCATCATAACAAACTATCAACAATACAAGTCATTAAATTGGTACAAAGACATGAAATGAATCACCAAGTTTCTTAACAGGTGTATCAGTATAGTCAGCAATCTTTCTCAATACATGATAAGCCCTGTATAAATACAATAAAATTAATGTAAACCATCTCTATACATGGATGCATGTGCATCAACTGGTATCTTTACCTGAATAAAACAGGTATATCAGACCTAATTCTCTTTGTTGAAAAGTGACAATGATGCAACTCCTATGCATATGTAAAACAAAAAATGCTTACAAAATATTATAAATCTCTTACCCAGATTTTTCTCATGGTTAATAAAATATTTTTTAAGCATAGATCCTGTGCAATTCCATGAGCAAAATTCTTCGACTCACTATGTGTTTCTTCAATCATCACTTCCAGGAGCTCAATGGCTGAAGATTTAATACTGAAGAGCTCCCGTGCCTAACCCAGTGACAATAAATTTAGAGTCAATGACCATAATTATGCACAAAACTACACATACCTCTGCTGATGTAGCAGCATGACTCCAAGACAATATAATGTTGATAGAGTTGACTATTTGATTCTTGCAAGCAACTTCTCGATTGCTAAAGTTACCAGCACACATCTCAATCAATGCCTGTGAGAAAAGGAAAGGGTCTTACAGGCAAATGTGACTTTAATATACTTGAATTGCTTTCCTGGTAGGAATAAACAAGTACTTATTATAGTTTTCAGCTAGAGTCTGGAAGAGCACAGTAACTAAGGACACTATATTAACACTCTAAAGAACAGAAACATAATAGGTATACGTGTACTTATTCTTACAAAGAAATCATTCTCTTGCTTTCTAAGTGTATTCTGCATCTCTTGATTCTGTCCATCACATATGGATGAAATCACATCCAATACTACAACAGCTTGTTCTCTGGCCTTATTGAAACTAGTTTTCTATTATAACACAGTCAGTACAGTATTCCTTAATGATCATTTTATCTGTACCAAGTGTCTAAATCTTTCTATACAAGCATAAGCACAAACAGAAGTCATCTCTCCTAATTCACTAGAAAAAGTAGCTTCCATAGTCTCTCCAATTATTTCAACTATTACAGGAGATGCTAGCCTCTTTAATAATAACAACAGTAAATATAATCATATAAGCAATGACTATACTTCTTGAACTAACCACTGTTTCAGAAGATATGGCATGCCCTAATTCACTCTACAAAAAATCCCTGGTTATTTCAATATAATAGTAGCAACTAACTTCTTGTGATTGTCTCACACAGCGTGCACTAGATGATGCTCTAGAATAATTTTTGTGTCTACACAAAAGCAATATCACACAATTAACTATGCATAATAATACCTGTAGTATGATTGACTTAGGGTGCCAGTGGCACCTTTTAAAAGCTTATTGATGCATGCAAAGATCCGTGTATCAGAAATCAAATGACCTGATTATAATTAACAGGAAAAATCATCACTGTGCCAACTAACTAAGTTTTTCTTGTGAATTCTTATTACCAAAGTGAAGAAGCCTGGATAAAAATGCTAAAATTTGAGTTAAAATCTCATCTTTTGGATGAAATAGAAGAAAAATGATCTGCCAATTAAAATCAAAAGAAAAAATCTACATCATTCTGGATATAGTACATCAATAAATATAGACATAGTAGAAATAATAATTATTATAAATATCGATCATTATACCTTTTCATGAGCACCTGCTTCTATTAGTGCATCTTGCATAGGTTTCACTTTTTTACTGTACTCTCTATAAAGTATTATTATTAGCTGCTTATTTCTTTAAATTACCAAAGGTTTTACTTTTCAAACAGTTCGGGATTGGATTTCATCAATTTCTGATTGACATTTTTTATCCTGCCATCAATGACACCAACCAAAAGTCTCAGCGACGTTAGCAAGACAAAATCAATGTTAGCTCTCTCTCTTAGTGACAATGGTAGGTGATATTTTCGATCAACTATCCTGTGGAAATTAACAGTTGTTTAGTGCAGATACAACAAGAACATAAAATCAGGTCATTAAAGCAGCATAAATAATTAAAATTTACACATAAATACACATCAAAAAATGTAATAGAAATGGACGATTCTCTCATGACAAAATAGCCTGTACTATAGTACAGGGACTTTGGGCCAATTTTGGAGCAACTTTAAAAATTCACAAAAAATCCAACTTTGATCGGAATCATCTCCAACTTTCTATACAATATAAGTACATGCATACGCATCAGGAAAAATTATAAAAATGAAAAATTCTCTCCTTTTCATTTTTGGTGAAATTTGGCCAAAGACCCTGTACTATAGTACAGGGAATTTGACCCAATTTTGGAGCAACTTTTAAAATTCATTAAAAATCCAGCTTTGATCGGAATCAGCTCAAACTTTCTAGGCAATATAAGTGCATGTATGTGTCAGAAAAAATTATTAAAATGGCAATTTTTTTCCTTTCCATTTTTGGCAAAATATTTTGAGCAACTTTAAAAATTTGTAAAAATCCAAATTTGATTGAAATTAACTGAAAGTTTCTATGCATCATAAGTACATGTATATGTATCAGAGAAAATTATTTTTAAAAATTCTCTGTTTTTAATTTTGGCAAAATTTGGCCAAAGACCCTGTACTACAAAGGGTCTTTGGCCCAAATTTGAGAGCCTTTATAAAATTACAATAAAAAATTACTGCTACAATTGTCTTTTTATATTACACTAGCATCATGTAATCTTTACTATTACTATACTATTGCATAAACCTTACCCCATCAAGGGAAGAAGTACTGGGCATTCTTTTTCGCCAGTAAATAATTTCATCAGTTCATTAAAACTAGGACCAGACACATGAAGATCTATAACACACAGTCATAATTGATATTTGATAAATATTATTATAATTTAATACAATCCCTTACTTCTAGTGTGACCAGGGTCACTTCCTTCATAAGTAATTTCTAAGTTTGAGATAAATTTTTGAAATTGAGAATTGAGCTCAATCTCATCGCTTAAATAATGCAACCCTGAACTCACAAGATATTTACTTTCATTTAAAAACAAAGCATTTCTTGCCTATAAAAAGGTCCAAGCATCATTTCATAATAATTATAATACCGTATAACACTTTAATTTGGCGGAGTTTTATTTTGGCGATTGGCAGTTTGCAAGCAGAATCGCCAATATTAAAACTGCCAATCATTAATGCACATGCTCAGTAATGCACGTGTACACAAAAATTGCCAAATTAAAAACCGCAAATTACATTTGTACAGCAAAATTGCCAAAATAAAGCACCGCCAAAATAAAGTGTTATACGGTAGTTTTACTTCATTTAATTTGTCAATCTCATCCAAAGGCAGTACACTAGCCATTAGATCTACTAACAAAGTCCAGTAATGTACCATTTCAGGGGTTGTCATAAACACAGACGAATGATGCCAGAGTAGCTCCTGCACAATTACATTTCACGTATAAATATTAGTGTACTGCTAACATACCAAGAAGGAATCGCTGAACAGTTTTAGAGTAGCAATTACTGAAGGACAATATAGCAAACAAGAGTATTCCTGTCCCCTTGTATTAGATTGAGAGTTTGCTGCTAATACTTGTATACAAAAGGACTGTATCACTGGGAATAGCCCATCAAGCAAGTAACAGAGCAAAGATGACAGTGAGATTGTTCCATTGCAATCGCTTGTTATAAAAACATCAAATTCTTTACTTCTCTCATTCCAAGTCTACAAACAAAATTAATGAAAGAGGACATGATAAAAAGACACTGTATTTGAACATGCAACATACCAAAAAGCTGTAGTGTTGACTGAATAATATCCGAACTCTAATTTTCACCAGCTCCAACTCTTTATCTCTGAGTAATGACAACCTCTTAGACACCAAACCGAGTAGTATTGAACACTCTTCTACATGACTCCAAAAACAACTATAATATAGACAGTCAATTATACACAGGTAGGGTCAGAAACCTGTTTTCCATTAAAGGAACAAGTGTCAATAATGACTTTCCCTCTGATCTCTGGTAACTGCAATAAAGAATACGAGCAAAAGGTTTCTTCCTGTCAAACGGGATCTCAGGATTACAAATAATGCTACAAAATGAGCATTTCAATATACTACTTACTGCATAATATAAAATCAAATAATTACTTGACTAATTCTTCAATGGAAAATATTGACTGACAAATATTTTCTGAATGTCTACATTCACCTTCAGAAGTCGTAGCCAATAAATCAGTCATAGTCAATAGCTTCAGCAATTGATCAGGATCATCACTATCCTAAAAGAATTTTCATTAGTTAAAGGGTAAGTCCGGTGTATTTTTGGTGAATTTTTTTATTGGCTTAATATGATTGCCTGACCATAATAATGATGTATTCCAACTCCCATTGTCTAAAAAAATTTTTTCACTGAGATATGAGCCTTCAAAGATGCTCATTTTTATTACTTCCTGTTGATGGGTGTGGCTAAACGTGACGTCACTAGAGGCATAGATGCAGATAACTCCATTCCTTTATAGGGGAAATAATCCTTTATTCTCATGTCTAGTAATGTAATATCACTAATTTAAAGATTGGGATCATTAGCTTTCATTATTCCAAGCATGCAACTGCAAGAAAAAGACTCAAAATAGCAAACAAGAAAATTTGCCTACTTGTAATATTATGACATTTTCTTGCAGTTGCATGCTTGGAATAATGAAAGCTAGTGATCCCAATCTTTAAATTAGTGATATTACATTACTAGACATGAGAATAAAGGATTATTTCCCCCTATAAAGGAATGGAGTTATCTGCATCTATGCCTCTAGTGACGTCACGTTTAGCCACACCCACCGACAGGAAGTAATAAAAATGAGTATCTTTGAAGGTTCAAATCTCAGTGAAAAAATTTTTTTAGACAATGGGAGTTGGAATACATCATTATTATGGTCAGGCAATCATATTAAGCCAATAAAAAAAATTCACCAAAAATACACCGGACTTACCCTTTAATATTTTAGTAAAATGTATATAACTAACATCTTTTAATACATTTGATCTTTCCTTTTGAGAGTTGCTTGCTAATATCTTGTAAAAACTTTCCTCTCGATGCTCAAAAACTATTGTAGCTATCAATTTTTGATAACTCTTTAACAGTACAACAGTATTAAACTTGTATGGCTATAGAAGAGTATTTTAGAGTAGGAGAACAAACAGCAAAAGGGGTAGCCTACTTTCATTATAGTTTCTAAGGTTGTAAATAACTCAAAACACTCTGGATTATTAGAAGTTGCTGCTTTTGTAAAAATTTGAGCAACAGTAACCTCTGAGAAAGTGAGACACAACTGCTCATTGCCAGAAAGAATCTAAGAAAATAAATTTTAAAAATGAATTACATTCAAAGTAGTACTTCAGTCATTAGTCGAGCCAGTGCAGCTATAGCTATCTTTGGCTTAGCAATATCTACTAATGCAGCGAATAACTTCCTTTGTGCCTTTAAATTTCAATAAAATAAACACAAATCATCTTTAACCCTCACCCCTGCATTGCCACAAACAATGGCCTGCATGCTGCTTAGAGCTAGTGTGAGGAGATCAAGTTGGCCAGTGTCTTCTGTCATACAAAAATTTTGAACATATACTAATAGAACAGACAATAAGCCTATGAGGGTTTAGGAAGTTAGTCAGGGAAATATAAGCTGATAAACTTGTACCTGAACATAATGCAATATTCTGATTGTTAGCATGAGGTCTTGTCTCATCATTGTCCACCATACACAAACTCCTAATCTTCTTCAGGACTTGAACTGTACTGTCATAAAGTTCTACAATTAATAGAGACACAAGTTACATGCGCATAGGCTGTAATACTCACCGTGCCCTGGTGTTGTTGCTCCTTGCAACATTTTCATCAAAATTTTTGACTGATCAAAGAATGATGCATGAGAATACATGAATGAATTTATGTCCTCTGACTCTTGTGTGACTATGCATGATACAGAGGCATGATAGAACAACTTACTCTCTTTCTATATGCAATTAATACAATGGAGGACTCGTGATTAAAAATATATTTTGAAGCTTACTTGATGCATATCAAAAAGCAGTGTTATACTTGACAATCTTAGATCATCGTCTTCATAATGGAACAGATCAATGAGGATGTCTTTAATTTCACTTTTATCAGTACCAAAGCAACTGTAAGAAACTGAGAGCATATCTTTTAGTCTAGTACATACAAAAGCAGCAATCCTAAATAAGAGCTTCTTTAAAATTTCTGGAAGTCACTTTAATATTACACTAACATTGGATCTTGTTTATTAAGCTGATAGTTCTGAGAGAGCAAGGCAGCAAGAGAGCTATTGACTGGTGTATAGCTGTCAGTTGATGAAACCTCCATGCTTTCAGATTTCATGTATTTAAAATCCTGCATCAAATTCTACATGAAAAGTATTATCACAATATTAGGATTATAATGTAAACTGACCACTAAAGCAGCGAATACTGACATCTCCAAAAAGTGTTGGAGAATATGAACAACTCTAACATTAAAATCTAATACAATTGTGCTATAATCCTTGAAAATTACTTCAGTTTAATCCGAAAAATTTTATGATTATTTTCATTGTAATTGTAACGTTCTCCCTTTTGATATTCAGCAACTTTCCAAGGAAAAGAATCTAATGGAAAACGAAATAAATGACTGAAATTTGTTGGCCATTTTACCGTGCTTTGGGAGGTCAGTTCTTCCATCAAGGATCTCCATTAATATACTTATGAGTCCGGAAACATCAGAGTCCTTCCAGTAAAAACAATGGGAAACTAGAGATTCAATGACAGTCAGCATATGATAAATGAGTTCATTATGACCTCCAGTCTCTTCTTCAGCACACAAAGCCTACAAGTATTTTCATTTTTATGAAAAAATACACAAGATGTTAACCTTGTTTTGAATTAAAAATGAAGAAATGGAATCTTTTAAGCATTTGATTTCTTCCCTTTGCTTGATAGCAGCACATGCACATGTATATGCATTAGCAAAATCACCTCTTTTCCCTGAATGAAGACACATTGGTTCCCACAACTACATGATAAAAAATAATGCATTAACAATTAGAATAAACACACGTACATGTACATGTATGATTGGGGAATGGGGACACAAAATACTGTCAAAGTACATGAGCTCTGTGAGTCTCACAAGCATGATACATGAGCAAAAAATCATGCTTTAAAAGCTGATGAGACTAATAGCATATGAAGCAGCTTCAAAAATTCATAAAAAATCCAACTTCGACCAGAATCAGCTCAAACTTTCTACACAACATAAAAACACATATATGTATCAGAAAAATTATAAAAATGATGAATTTTTTCCTAGTCAGTTTTAGCAAAATTTGGCCAAAGATCCTGTAATATAGTACAGGGACTTTGGCCTGATTTTTGAGTAACTTTAAAAATTCGTAAAAAATCTTATTTTAATCAGAATTAGTTCAAACTTGCTACACAACATAAGAACATATATATGCATCAGGGAAAATAATAAAAATGGAGAATTTTTTCTAGTCATTTTTGGCAAATTTGGCGAGGGATATTTTGTTAAATTTTTCAGCAACTTCTAAAGACCACTAACTAAAAGCTGAGCACTACATGAAGCCAAAATTTTGTGGGAAACAGATTATGCATACTCACAAAAGTGTGGCTGATATTATAAAAGTATATTCCATCAGATTGAACCCAATTACTAATGTAAGTGGATGCAGCATAGTCAATATATGCTGATTTCACTAGTGGATGAAGATCAGGATCACCAATACTTATCAATACTTCATCAAAAGTCCCAAATTTAATCAAGTCAATAGCCTCTGTATTTACTCCCTACAAATTGAGGGTACAAATGTATTGCCATACATGTACTGTGCATACTTTAAACACTTGACTAAAGAACTTGAGCTGTGCAATAAAAAAGTCACATAGTTTTTTGTTAGAACTATAAGTTTCCTAAAATATAAAAATATATCAGTAATTTACAAGAGAAAAAAAAGAGACATGGGCTAGAAACCATGCAGTTATACGTGTATTATCATTTTTACCTTTGAACAAATACTAGAAATCGGGCCAATGAGGTTTTCTGGATGGATGAACCAAATGACTCCTTCTTTAATCTGAGTTTGCATAAAAGTGCTCTGCAAACACAAAATATAAACAAACAATTAAAATAATTGTAACAAACCATGTCATGTGCCATAAGGCCTTTACAAATAGCATCTAATTGTAATACAATAGTAATATCATTGCATGTCTTATAATTTTCTACCTTGGACAGATTTACCAGCATTTAAACAAACATTGCCCATGAAATCCAAAAAAGTTGAATCACGCTGATAAATCAAAGTGAAACCTAGTAATAAAAAAGTACAAGTACATGCATAACATACAGTGTTTTTCAATAAAAGTAGCATTTCATCCAGATTGATTTTCTGTACTATCCTTGAAGCAGCAATACTATGTGAGATAGAGGCAACACTAAAGAGATGTAAGTAGGCATTCACCTTTCATTTGAGGCTAAGTTAGTAAGAAACCTCTTAAATTTAATGTTACTAATACACTGTAAATTAAGAAACTAGCAATGGTATAGTCAATCTTCTTGATTTACCTTTGCTAGAAGAATATTGATAAATTTTTCCTCTGTCAGATAGAGTAGACTTTTGCTTTTAGTTGAACTTACAAATTTTAGCAATACATCTGCTATTGCATCACATAACTTCTCAAAGTTCAAGTACCTAAAGCTAAAAACAATTTATTAAAACATTGATACGTTGCTTAAAATATACTTTTCTTTGTACTTCTGTGACTCAGATTCATGCAAAAACCCAATTAGGAGATCAATTCCCTTTATAAAAGTAATACGTATTTAAAAGCTTCAATACACTTTTGCATTATTACTTGTGACTTTTTGAATGCTTTCATTTTCAAATTGTGCCTGTCTAAGCATCCTTCTCCTTGAAACCACTCCAAAAACTGTCCCAACACTTGAATTAGCTCATCCAGTGAAGGAGGATAACTGAAAGACTTTGAAACCGCCATGAGCTAAAGGGATAAACAACAAGACAATGTACAAATTACATTGGATTATATGTACATGCATGTGCATACATTTTGCATGGACTCTCTCAATTGTGAGTTAACTCCACATATGTAATAAAAATCATGAATGACACCAGGTTTCACCTACATGTACATAGCAATAAATCATATTATAAATTCATGCATGTACATTTTCACATACTTCTGTAATTTGAAAATACTGTCTGCTATTGTCCTTATCATCTTCAAGGCCAAGCTAAGATACAGGCTAATCTATTTATAACATTTGATACTATTCGGTTACCTTAAACCACTTTGAATTCCTATAACTATGAAGAATAGCTATGTATATTAAGGTATCACATTATTACACAAATATATGATGTAGTTTCTTACAACGAACAGATAAGTTCATTCCAGACTGAATATGGTTAATCTTGATGTAATAGCCTTTAGTAACTACATCAGTTCTCTAATACATACATAAATATTGTTAAATAAAATGGTAATGATGTTAGGACTTACTTCAGTATCAGGAATTAACTTGAATGATATCTCAGGATCAGTAGTTCCACCAGCTTCAATCCTTTTCAACATTAGCTGTGGGCAATTAAAGTTCAGCATAAATACAATGTACATGAAAATCCCAACTAACACATTCTTCGTGCCCTCTTTGTGTAACTGCCAAATACTGCTGTGTCAGTACATGCTTAATACGGCAGTGATCACCATAACTGATCGCATTACCTTTAAATATATTAAATATTAATACTCAGTAGTACTATACATGTACATGCACTAGTAACTCATACCATTAAGTGGATATAGAACCTTTTCAAACTGCCAGAAACAGTCACCACCAAGTGGAGGCTCCTGTTGTATGCCATTAACAGATTTCACTTTTCTTACTCCAACTTTAAACACAAATTATAAGATCCAGTTATTAGTACAGTCTGTACCTTCAGTGGCAACATGATCTCCTCTAATAGCTTCAGGTAGGAATTCCCCTATTACAGAACCATACCCTGAGAGATAAGCTTCTTGTACATAATTAAACAGCATTATAACATCACAACCCTAAATTTATACGCGCATAATGACAGTCATAAATACAAAATTATCATACTCTCAGAGCTTTATCAGGTAGCTCAATATGATTACACGAGTGCAATGAAATGATGAATGTTGACTCAGTATTGCACATTTTTAGCTCATACCTGCATGGGTGAACAAAACAGCAATACACTAACGTTTCATTGGTAATGGATCATTCTATTCCAGTAAAATATATGCTGCATACCTTGATGACACTATATTTGAAGTGCAGAGTAAAAGTTTCCCCTTCTCACTGACAGACTCTAACATTATCTGATCCTTGGGCATTACCTATAATACACATGTACATGCAGTACATGGGCTTTAAATAATTGTATTTTACATCCTCTCCTCTAGATTTGTTGGCAGAGCATGGCAATATACGAAATAGACACCTTTCATTATATTCTGAAGTTAAAGTCACCTAAAGTGCATTATACATGCAATCTTATCAACACTATAGAGATCAATTCTATTCCTTACACTTTTATTTGGTGATTCATCATACAACAGGTACATATTGGATGCTACGTGAAGAAACTATTAGGATGGATAGACTTATGCATACAATCAATGTGTGTGAACTGTGAAGGTACCTTTACTTTGCGTCCATAGACTAAAGTACATGTGTGGGATGGAAATGTGCCATTCTATTTATAAGAATCAATAATAAAATTATTTATTGTAACTTAACTCTTTGTAGAAGAGAATTGCTAAAGGGAAATAATGCTTATTAATTATATTATCATTCATTTTAAGGGCCTACTTGCTGACATAGTTTTCTGCTATCACTTGAAATGACGCAACTAAATAAATAAGACAGAATTAAAAAAGCACAACTTTAATAGTAAAGCAGACTAAACTAATATTAAAAATATGACCACAATAATTTAATGTCATTCGTATTGTTAACATAATTATTATAAAAAATACAAAAATTCAGCTGTAGAGCCTATAAAATCATAAGACTTTATGTTAATTAGACCGTTAGCTTTTATATTTTGCATACATGTATTTTGGTATAATAATCACAGTTCTTTCATTTCAATTTGCTTATACAGTCAGCAATAGGTCAAAGTGTCACCTTAGTGTTACTCATATTTATGGTAAAACATAACTGGCAGTCAAGATAGATAATAATGATATTGTTATGAAGGGAATGAAGTATCTTTTAATTAATAAAAAATCTATATTCATTGCATAAACTATGTAGCTGACAGTGTCACAATTTCTATTACTAAATTCTACAAAAAGAACTACATCTGACAAGTACCACATATTATTATTAAGGGGGAATTTTGCTGGTTACAAGTAAATACAGAAAGCTGTCAAACATTTGTTGAAATTGAAGTCTTAATACTGGTGATATGCTGTACTTACAGTGAGTATTTGGAATGACTGGGTCTTTCAGCTGAGACTTCTGCTCAGGATCAGAAACTGGAAATATACTGACACAATTATACCTACAATAAATATAAGCATATAGCCATGCACACTAGTCCATGCATTATCTTTCATGTTAGCTAAACCAAATACAAGAGTAACTAAAACCTAGTAAGGTATTATTAAATTCTAAATAATTTGGGTATTATTTACTCTTGATAACATATAGGACACTTTTCATGAAGTTATATCTTTTAAAGAAGTAGGAACTGAGACAGATGTACATGTAGTCTAAAAAAGAACCTACATACCTTGGAAACTGAGCAAAGACAAAGCCTCTAGCATCAGAGCAAAACAGATTTATAAAGTCACCTTCATGCACTGGACGATCCATCTACATCTAACTTTGGCAAAAATTGCTTTTACTACTCAAAACTTGGCTCAGCATCAATATATTAGATACACAGTCTAGTTATTTCAAAATTACAACTTCCTACTACTTAGCCAACAGCATATGACACCTTTAAAAATTCAATTTTGATCAGAATCAGCCCAAAATTGGTATACGGTATTTGGCCCAATATTTGAGCAACTTTAAAAATTCATAACAAATTCAATTGTGATCTGAATCAACTCAAACTTTCTACACAACATAAGTACATGGTCCACAGCCCCCACACTACTAACAAGATAGAAGCTGATGACTATGCCTGGAATCTGCTTAAAACTTTCTACAAAGACATTGTAGTACAATTTATTTTTCAGATAATGCACAGCATAGCTAATTTTTAAATTCATAGCCATAATTTGAAAATTTGAAGTCAGAATCAGCTCAAAAATTAAATGTATGGGCTAAGAAGGGCTAAAAAATTTGTTCAGAAATTGGTTTATTTTGCATGGGCCCGCATGGCATTGATTTTTCTACACAGCATAAGGATGTGTTTTGACATGCATAGAGGTAGGAACCATTAATAGTAATTACACAAGTCTACTGCATAACAAGTAATTTTGAAGGGGATAAATTTTGGCAAATCATAGATATGGGCCCATGCACATGCCTCATGGTACATCATAGCTCTACATGGCCACCAAATATCAAATAAAACGCACCACAATACCAAAAGTGGTAGATCTACTTGTCTTTATTCATGTTGCCTCCCTAGTTTGCATAGCCTTCAAACCTTGTTTGCATAGCTAGCTAGTGGCTCACGTGATTGCTAGTTCGTTACACAGCACCGCCTAATTGTGTGCTGATTGACTGATTCGATTCCATGATTAATTTTTTATTGATTTAGCTACCTGATTTACCCAAATTCAATGATTCATATCTGATTTCAGCTTGACTCAAGGAGAGGCTGTGTATTTAACTTTACCATAAAGAGAGTTTGAAAAGGTGAAGAGTCCTGTGAAGGATTAGCAGTAGTGCTGGAACCCACTCCAGCTGGAACAATAGTTTAGAGAAGTAGGTTCACTACTTCACAAGTTATAATTTTTATTTTAATGAAAGGGAACAGTTGCTGCTATCAGCCTGTTATGTCTTTTGAAGTTGATCAAGTCGTATTAGAAAATGATCAGCTGCTAACACCTGCGGCTCGAGATGAAGCAAGACTTGAACGGTACTTGAAAATGAATTGCATGTACATGTATATACTTGTATTATTATCATCATCATCATCATTATTAGGATATTGTATCAAAGAAGGTCTGTGACTCCAATTAAAGATGATGTCAATGAAGATGAAAATTCATCTGCAGTAAACTCAAGGTACTATATATAACTATGGTTATTAGTTTATTATTGTTTTTGATTTTATTTATATTTAGGGTGTGTATATTCATCAACAAGACGCTAAAGATGATGTGGCTATTATTCTTTGCAGTTTTATTGATATTTCTATTCCTAGTACTTGTTGAATTTTTTGAATTCTGTTTGGGTTATTGCAGTAATAGACAAGCTTGTTCCCGCTCCCCATTAAGAATGATTCTTGGACAGTACATTCAGTATACACACACTGGTGAAGTGCCTGTATGACTATATTGACTTGTTATTAATCAATGATAATCATTACTGTTCTGTTAGCAGCATTACAGAGCCATAGGACCAAGACAGCTAAATAATTTTAGCAATTACTGAAATTTCCCCTTCAAATTACACGCTAGTATATTTAACTAACAGGTGCTACAAATTGGCACTTCAATGTCTTCATTCGTGTTGCCTCCCTATGTTGTAACTAAAAGAGAGAGAGAATCAGAGAGACAATGCTATCTAATGGCTGTTACTTTCAAAATTGCACGCACACCAACACACTGGCCCTAAAATTATATCAACAGATTTATTAAAATGAACTGAACATCTTTTTTATGCTCATTTTAGTGATCTTACAGTGAAAAAAGAACAAGAAGACTTAGAAGAGGCACAAACACACTTTCCCGCCTATACTGCCGCGAAACTAAGGATCACGTGATTTACTATAACCCCGCCCATGAAATGACACTTGCTGTCAGCCCCTCCCCTTTACACTCATCATTATCATCATGGCCACCAACTCTGCCAAGGCTGATTCTCCTAGAGCTGATAATGGATCAAAATGGACTCCTCAAATGGCTACCCTTCCAAATTCCAAAGACTATCGTCGGAAAGTGAAATATAATCTATTGTTTAGGACATTCTTTTGGTGAGTTTTGCAAACAAGAACCGTTATGTAATATTATGTATATATGTTATACATACATATATAATTTCTATATAACTACTTTAGTTGGGTGGACCCACTCTTCTGGCTTGGATGTAGACGTAGTTTAGATTTCAGTGATTTGTATAAGCATCCACCTGAGGCTGACTCCAGACTCGTTTTAGACAATTTTAATAAGTGAGATTATTGAATTTTATTTATTTTATGTTTTGTGTATGTAATCTCATTAGCTTTTTACACTGTGCAAAAATTTTATGTGTCATTATTATAGATTGTTGTTTAAACCAACCCATAAATTTCTGGTTTAAATCAGCATATTTAAACTTTTTTAACTTTCTACAGGTATTGGTCAATGGAATTGCAAAGAAAGAAAGATGGCCGTACACCAAGATTACTTGTTGCATGGCTGAAGTGCACCTGGTGGAGGGTTTGCATACAAGGACTCTTACTATTTTTAGAGGTATATCCCCTAAGCATTGATGAGAAGGTATTTTGTTTTAATGCACAGGTTTGTGGCATGGTAGCATTGTCAGAGTTATTGGGCTCCTTGACAGACTATTTTGTAATTGAATCCCCTACATCAGTGGATACTAGAAATGCCTATCTCTTTGCAATGGGACTCGGTCTAGTCTCACTGGCCATCATGTTTTTTCATGGAATGAACTTCCATCAAGGTTTCCTCATTGGTTTGCTGACAAAGATAATGTTTAGCAGTGCCATTTATCAGAAAGTAATGCAATATAAGGACTTATAATTTTTTACTCAATGTGCATATTTTAGACACTGTCTCTGAGCCAGACTACCGTAGGTCAAAAGACCATCGGCCATATTGTTAATCTAGCATCAAATGATATACAGAAGTTTGAAGTAGTAAGTGTAATCAATAGAGGATATGCGTGCTAAGTATATCCATAGCTTTTAAGTACCGTATATCCAACCCACACAGTAAATTGGCTGCCATGTTGGACGTCATTATTAAGAGTTTAATGGGGGAAAACACATTTTCTTGCCTTGCTACCTTCTTGAGGCCTTTTTCGGAAGCTTAGAAAGTATCCTGAGGATCTAATGGGGTCTAGTAGTCACCTGAAAGATTGCTATCAAGAAATACAGAGCGGTTTCCTGGTACCAAGCCTTTTTCTATCATTTCTCCATTGCTGCCAATGGAAAGTTGACGTCCAACGAACTAATTTTTTTTCTTGAAAGTTATTACGGTATGCAATGAATACATTTATTTTGCAATGAATATACTTAGCACGCATGTCCTCTATAACCAACTAAGCCAAGACAGTACAATGTTACATTTATGTTTTGCTATAGGCATTTGCTATGTATCATTTTTTATGGATTGGTCCAATACATGTGGTAGTAGTTACCTATTTGTTGTATCTTGAGGTTGAGTGGACTGCTTTCATTGTGACACTGCTCCTTGTCCTACAGATTCCATTACAAATGACTCTTTTATATTTTTATTCCAAATTGAGGCAAGTGTTATCACTGATAATATATATATTGTTATTACTGTAAGACAAATGTGTATTTGTTTGTTGCTACTAGTATTTGGCTATGTTAGTGTAATGCATAAAGTAAAACCAGTTCATGTAATTATTATTGTAAAGCCATACAGTAATGTGTATACACTAAAAGCTCATTTACTCTTATCTTTATTAGATTTAAGGCTACCAGATTAACTGATAGAAGAGTGAAGGTCATGAATGAGGTTATCAGTGGAATCAGAGTCATTAAGATGTATGCATGGGAATATGCTTTCAGTAATGTAGTCTCAGCAATTAGAAAGTAAAGAAATTAATTATTTTAAAAATAAATCACTACCATCATTCTTCTTATTATAGATCAGAGATTTTTATGATGTTCAAATATTTCATGTTTTTTGCCATCAGCAACTTTTACAAGTCGATATCCATCACCCTAAGCATGTTCCTGGTCTTCTCTGTTTATGTCAATATATCAGACGAAGGGCTGACCCCTAGGAAGGTTTTTGTTTCGCTGTCCTTGATAACGTTTGTTCGTTTTACGTCAATCCACTTCTTTATCCTGTGCATGCACGTACTAGCTATTGCAAGGGTCTCCTGGATAAGAATTGGAGTGAGACATCTTCATTCATGTATTTTTATTAGTTTAATTTTATTACTTGATAGAACTTTTTAGTTTTGGATGATCTTCCCACTGCTACTGAAGATGAGTCTACCAGTAAGAATGCTAAGAGTTTTGTATTATAATAGACACTGTACATCATTTTCTGCTTTAGGCACTACTAGTAATGGAGATAAGGATTCTGCTGGTGAGACTAGTGATTTTATAAGTAGTTTTTATTATTGTTTCCGACGACTTTCCATACAGGCATTGCAAATGGTGATATAAGCCTCAAACCAGTTTCAACGTCTACTACTGATGATGTTATGGTGCAGGATTTAACTGCTTCTTGGTCTATGGATAGCAACAAATTAACATTAAGAAATATATCATTTACCGTCAATAAAGTAATGTAATATTATTCATGTGTGCATGTATGATATTTTTTTGATAGGAAAAACCATTGTTGGCTGTTGTTGGCAGTGTAGGTTGTGGCAAGGTTAGTTTAAAACTTCATAATTTTTTAATTAGCACATACACACACACACAGTCTACTCTTCTTCAGTGTCTATTGAAAGAGCTACCTGCTTTGAGTGGTACAGCAATGATTAAAGGATCAGTTGGGTATGCTAGTCAAGAAGCATGGGTGTTCTCAGCTACACTGAGAGACAATATACTCTTTGGTTTACCGTATGATCCTGACAAATATCAGTCTGTGATAGAAGCATGTGCTCTTGAGAAAGTATTTGTATGTGTACTTGTTCCTTATTGTGTTGTTGGAATAGGATATTGAGCTACTGCCTGAAGGTGATTTTACTCTAGTAGGAGAGAGAGGAGTGACTCTCAGTGGAGGACAGAAAGCTAGAGTGAATCTAGCCAGGGCAGTCTATCGTCAAGCTGATATTTATCTTCTTGATGATCCTCTGAGTGCAGTAGATGCTGCAGTCAGTAGGCATCTTTTTGAGAAGTATGTATAAAATTTTTTGAGTATGTACATGTACACTGTACTGACTGTACTGACTGTACATGTGTATTTCTACAGGTGTATTCGTGGAATATTATCAGACAAGATTGTTATACTAGTAACTCATCAAGTACAATATCTTGAACGATGTGATGCTATACTTGGACTGAAGGAGGTAAATCTATTATAGTTTGGATGCTTGTAAACAGTTCGCATGTAAATTTAGATTATCTTTAGTTTTCTATTTCTTAATTCCCATAAAATACACTATGTCCACATATTGTTGCACAGTGACTTTTGCTATATAGGGCTCTGTGTTAGTATATGGTGATGCATTGGATATTCTCAAAGAAGACAGTGGTATTTATGAGCTACTGGCTGACGACGATAACAAAGACTCTGACGATGGATTGAAAGTCAGAAAGCAAAGCATTGCATATACTGGCTTGGAGGCACAGAGTAAGGACATTAGTAACGCTTCTGTAATTTATGAATTAATGTAAACCTGTAGCAGGATTTCAGCGTAAAATGGACAATGTCAAGGAAGAAGATGAAGAGAATGAAGGAGTGGTTGATGATGTGAAGCCAGATGGCATTGAAAAACAACTATCAGAAGATACAGTAAGAGAATTGAATAATCGTAGCAATAATGATAATCTATTTATAATTATCTGAGCCTGGCACTGAAGTATTTGTAATGTAGTAATAGTTAATTAATAGCAGTTAATTAATGTACAAGTTTCCAGCAATAATAATGTATGTTATAATTGGCCTCATATCTGATCTCATAGGAAGTTGTTCATAAAGTTTCAGTACCTGCCGAGGAACGTGCTCATGGCACAATATCACTAAAGACATATGTCAATTACTTTGTTGCCGGTGGAGGATATGCTTTTAATTTTATTATTTTATCCCTGTTCATTCTAACAGAGGTGAATCATCAATGCATCTCCTGTATAACGTAATAGTGTTTTTGTTCCCATTACACATACATGTAGGCTAATCTTGTTGTTGCTGATTGGTGGATATCTGATTGGTGAGTTTTCCATTGTTTTACTAACTACCGTATATTGGGTATATTTCAATGCATGAAAAGTGGTGTAAATATAAAGTTCAATGATGGAATAATTTGGAAGCCCTTTATATTCTGAAAATATTTTACTTGCTATTATTTCCATCAACCACCTGGTTTGGTAAGTCAATCGAAGAATTTGCTGACTTCTCCACTTCTGAATCAACCTTAGCAACACTTCTAACTCGCAAAGAAGGCTCTTTATGGCCTTCGAGTTAGACTAGAATGTAGCCATGGATAGTTATGAAGCCACGTGTTCATAATGATTGCACAATACCACATATCTTCTATTTCTTATTATCCGCATATTTTAAAATTTCATAATATTTATTTTCGCAATGGATTGCTTCTTCCAAAATTATTAATACATTGAAATATACCCGATATACGGTATTTTATATGTTTTATATACTGATATAGGGCTGACTGTGAATCAGAAGCTGGTCTCAATAGATCTACTTGTTTACTGTCTGACAACGAACGTATTGGAATATTTGGAGGACTTGTAGGATCATTGTCAATATTTACAGCATTTAGAGCAGTTCTTTTCTATGTTCTAATGTTGAATGCTTCAAGAGTTGTTCATAATAGGATGTTTGCTAGAGTGTTGAGAGCTCCAATTTTGTTCTTTGATACTAATCCAATAGGTCAGAAATGATTGTTATTATTGCTAAAATCAAAGCACAACTATTGTGTAAATTTAGGTCGTGTATTGAATCGATTTTCTAAAGATGTTGAGTTCCTTGATGAAAGATTAGTTATTATATTTTTGGAATACTTAATTGTAAGTTTCCTTGTCATTCCTGATCGCATTTTCACGTTCTTATGCTTAGATTCTCACTCGTTTCTTTGCTGCAATGTTCACAGCCTCCGTAGCTAATCCATATGTCCTGATAGTCGTTGCTGCTTTGTTTGTCACCTCTCTGGCATTTCGCTGGTATTATCTAAAAACTGCAAGAGATATTAAGCGATTGGAAGCATTGTGTTAGTGCATAGATTATGTTTATTAAGCTACTAGTGAAATTATATGTACTTTAGCTCGTAGTCCTATATACTCTCATCTCTCACTAACACTGCAAGGACTCCCTACCATAAGATCTTACTCAATGCAAAGTGAAGCTATGAATCACTTCCATACGTATCAGAATCACAACACTCAAGCCAATTATCTTTACATTGTAACTACAAGGTAATCAAAGAATCGAGAGATTTCTGTGAATTGATTTTTTGCATCTACATGTAGGTGGTTTGGTATGAGGATTGACATCATTAGTTCTTTGTTCATAGCAATAGTAGCTTTGTCTTCTGTACCTTTGTCAGCTAGTAAGAGTTGTATTGTATGCATAATAATAATATTATGAATCATTACTTCTAATGCAGCTCTCAATGCTGGTTTAGTTGGTCTAGCATTAACTTATGCTATCTCATTGAATGGAACATTTCAGTTTTGTGTAAGACAAAGTGCTGAAGTTGAGGCTCTGGTACGTCCCAATGATTATTAATGTAATTCTTATCAACAAGTATTTCTTAGATGGTGTCAGCTGAACGAGTGATGGCTTATGGTATGCTAGACACTGAGGCATCTTTGGAAACTGAACCTTCGGTGAAATTGAGTTCAGACTGGCCAACCAAAGGACACATTGAGCTAAGCAATGTTTCCTATCGTCATTCAAATGAAGGACCACTTGTACTTAGAGGAATTACATGCGACATTAAACCAAGCGAAAAAGTATGTGAAAGAATGATTATTAATTATATTTTTTTGTAATAACTTTTAGATTGGTATTGTGGGTCGTACTGGAGCTGGTAAGTCATCTCTCATTGGAGCATTGTTCAGACTAGCTGAACCAACTGGTAGCATTAAAATTGATGGAGTAGAAACCACTCAATTGGGCCTTCATGATGTTAGGAGCAATATGTCTATCATACCACAAGTAAGCTCCTTCATTCAGTGAGCCGCCTGTACAATACATATGTGCATAGGATCCTGTGCTTTTTGGAGCATCAGTACGCTACAACCTTGATCCATTCCAACAATATGATGATGATAGAATATGGAGGACTTTAGAACAAGTAAGGCTTTGCATGTGATTTGTATTTGATTTATTTTGTGAATGTCCCTGCTCACACACAATAAATATTTATTATGTACACAGGTTCAGTTGAAGAGTGCAGTGGAGGAACTAGAAGGAGGATTAGAGAGTTTAGTGAGTGAAGGAGGAGGTAACTTAAGCGTGGGACAGAGACAGTTGTTCTGTTTGGCGAGAGCTCTCCTTCAGAGTAACACTATCCTGATATTAGATGAAGCCACTGCTAATGTAGACATGGAGTGAGTACTGTACACATACATACACTTGTACTAATAACCTGTGTGTGTGTTATGATCCAGGACTGATGCTATCATTCAACAAGTGATACGTGAACAGTTCTCTAATTGTACTGTACTAACTATAGCTCATAGACTGGATACTGTCATGGACTCTGACAGGATTATGGTATAATAGTACTTGTAATTGTGTCCTAATCTCCCTTACATTATTCACTAGATACTGAGATCAGGTGAACTGGTAGAGTTTGATGTACCTCATATACTCCTCAGTCAATCATCATCATATCTCAGTAAACTAGTGGAGCAGACTGGACCTAACAATGCTGAAAGATTGAGGAATATTGCTCTAGAGTCTTATAATAATAGTAACAACAAGAGCACATGTTTGTAATTATTGTAATTTTTACTCTTTATTGATTAATGCTGCACAGATAATTGTGACGTTTTATTAATTTTATATTTATATTTTATTTTACAAAATGGATGAATCATGCTGTGCTACACTTCATAATTTATTAGATTAGCTTTTTGTCCCTGCTCACAAGAAAGACACTTATCATCTTCACACTTGTACTTGCTATATGTGTAACTCATTTATGATATGCCTTGTCACACTAGACAAAGCATTTTTTATAGCACTATGGCACAAGTTGCAAGAGTAAGATTTAACACTCAGGCTGCTAATTAATTATTCCTTTCACAAATGTCTCATTTTTGTTATTAACCCCATCCCCATGCTGTATCTAACTATTTGTTTTGCAAATTAATGTCTTTCTCTCAACCTGCCCCTTTTCACAAATTCAAAAGAAATAAAGGAATTAATATTATTTGTTAGTTAATAATAATGCAGTTTAACTCAGAAGTGATTTTAAAGTATCTAAAAAGTCAGACCAACCTAAAGAGAGGCTAATAACACTCAATGTAGTTGTGTACGGTTGATTAGAATAGAACAGGTCACGATCTTTCTTTAAACAAGAGACGAGATGCTTTTGTGACTTCTTGTGACCTGATGTCAATAAAGGAGGAAACGGTAATCCATCCTTCATAAGAGAATAGCACCACAATAATCGACTCATTCTTCCATTACCGTCTTCAAAAGGATGAAGGGAAACAACATGATAATATACCCACGTAGCTAGAACAATTGGATCATGATCTTTCATTGACATCCGGTCGTTGTATGTCTTCAATATGTCACCCATTGCATTTGGTATGCAAGTGTACGAGGGGAAAGTGTGAAAACCTGCACAAACTGAATATTGCCGATATTTTCCATTATGTATCGGGGATCCTTCTTCAGTAGTAAGACCTTTCATCATAATCTCGTGTGTCTTCAATATTATTTCTTCCGTGAGGTCTGATTTGATATGAGAAAGAAGAAACTCCAATGCCTTGATATGATTCACCAATTGGTCGATGGCACTGCCACTATATCTGTTATTCTCCTCTTTTTCGTCATTCTTATAAACTTTTTCTAGTATGCTGATGGTCTCTTCTTCCTTCACACCCCCGGGTAGAGTGTCTTCAAGGAGGTTAGTACGCCATATTAATTTGGCCACCATCCGTTTCTGGCAGTCTTGAAGATTCTGTAACGGAGATGTCTCGACTAAACTACCCTCTTTCCATTTCTCGAGGTTCGTTTTGCATTTTTCCCACTCATTTTGAGGACTTTCACTGTCCTTCAAAAAAGGGAGCCTAACCAGAGGCGGTGAAGAAGGAGCGGTTTGGGGAGAAGACGCCATTCGAAGTTTTGATTTTTTGAACACATGTCACGTGATGATGATGCAATGATTCGTGCATACGGAGTGAAACGAATCAGGAGGAACCTTCGGGATCGGGAGAACCCATTGTCTCGCATTCGATTGTCTATATAGACTATAAGGCTTGTCAGGACTACACACCAATCAGTAAAACCACTATGGCACTTCAGGCCTCTCCTCAACTTCAAGTAGATCCAAATCAAACCGCCTTATATGATAAGAACAGTTTCCTTTTCAGAAGAATCGAAAAGTCACCAGCATATGCGTTATCATACTGTGAGGGAATGTTGGAAAAGTTCAGGGCCAGTGATGAATCAAGTACATTTGTGGATCGAATGAAGATGTTTCAAAAGGAAAGGTGTATGCAGCTTGTTTGGGCTTCTGATAAATTTAAAGACAAGCCTGTAGAGGAGAACATAACAAAACAACACCTTTCATCAAAATATGATGAAATGATGCTTCAGTCTAATTTGCTGAATAAAGAGGATCGGGATCGTTTTCTAGACAAGATTGCAGGTACCATGAAGCCACATACTGATGCCGAAAAGGATCGCTACACCAAAGACCAGTTAGAACAACATCTATTGGCACTTTGCTTTGTGATCAATAAAGCTCAAGCAGGGGATGACTTGACTGAAGATTTTATACAGCAAACCCACCAAATCCTTATGAATGGTCTTACAGCAGATGGCGAAGAAATTCCAGCAGGAATATATCGCCAATGTTCTGTTAGTGCTAATGGACATACATACCCATTATACACGTGCATTCCTGCAGAGGTACCAGAAATTGTAAGACAGCACAATGAAAGTAAAGGGTCAGATAAATATGAAAGAGCTAGCAAACTTCTCTCCCGTATTTTATGCCTACATCCATTTCGAGATGGCAATGGGCGTGTCGCTCGTTTACTCTGGAACTTTTCTTTAATTTCTGATGGAGTCCCATTCCCTATAATGCCGTTTCCATCTACAAGAAAGCCATACAAAGACTACATAACATGCATTACAAAGGATCGTGAATTATTACACGGAAGGTATATGTCAGGTATGACACTGATTAGCGTTATGACAGTTTGGAACAATTTTGTTTTGAATCTTCAATTTGAAGCAAAAGATCTATACAAAGATATAAGTGCTTGGCTTAAGGACATTGAACATTAATTAGATCTAATTAGTATTAGTAGCAAACTAGCAATCAATAATTATAGGTTTTAAAGTATTAATTTAGCAGTGTGTTTATTAAAATGATAACTATTAACTGACACATGTTTTGTCCAAACACAACAGAGATAAAAATCAGTTTTTGATATACCAGCTCATATACTCTCAGTCAATCATCATCATAATCTCAGTAAACTGTGACCTAAGAACGCTGAATTATTACAATAAAGAGTAAAAGGGTTGTTTGCCTGGAACACAAGAAAACAAACAAAAAGAGAACAATATAATAAGAAACAAACAATAAGCATGGACAATAAAGGATGTATATATACTACCGCAAATACTGAATATCTACTATTGGAAGTGGTTTGTTTGGTTGTTCTTTTCTGTGTTTATCAGTCAATGTCTTCTTTTGATCTTTTAGAGTATCCGTCAGGGGGGGTAGACGTCTTCCAGTGCAAATTTTAATATATTCAAGTGATGGGTGAATGAAAACAGTCTCATAAAAATGTTGTATGTTTTCTACCCAGTTAGGTTGATGTGTTAACTTGCTATTAATGCCAAAACACCCTATGGTCAGTAGTCTGATTGTTCTATGAGACAATAACATGTTTGTACAGCAGGCAGTATCTGTTCATACAGCGATAATGTTTTAACTTTTGACTCCATCTCTTTTATTTGCAGTAGTAGTCTCCTCTTCATCCTTTTCATCACTAATATCATCACTAATATCATCACTGAAATAGAATATCTCACTGTATATAGAGTAAAAAATCAATTCATCTAATGCAAAGCTCATTGTAAGTTCTGTAAGATTATTCTTCTGAGAGATGATGTCAGTAAAAGTTGATACCAGTATCTCTTTACTCAATGGAATGAGTACATACAACTGCTGAAGACTCATGTTGCGTCTAAGACCAGTTATTAGGAAGGACAGGAATGAATTAGGAATATATTCAACAACGTAATCATGAATTTTAAGGCATTTCAATGTTTGGTTTTGTGTTAGCATGCCTTGCAAACTAGTACCCATACTGCTGGTATATACACTCTTTCCCATAATCTCCAAATCCAAAACTTTAAGTGTAGTATTGGTTTGTAAAATAGTGAATAGTTCAACAACAGTCTCAGCTGTGTTTAATTGTAAAGTAAGTGTATGTAAATTGGGATGAGACGAAAATAGTAGCTGTGGTGAATATGATTCATATAATATCAGGCAATGTAATCCTTTAATATGTGGAAGGAGTGATGTCATCAGCTTGCTACTACGAAATCTTCTTCCTATTTCTAGAGCAACCAGTGGTGTATTCACCTCTACTATATTCAGTGACGATAGTAGGACTTTATCAGCTATGTCCAATGAAAGAGCTTGTAAAATGTTGTTGTCTTTTAGTAGTTGTTCTATTACTCCATCAGGTAGAGAATGAGAAGGATCAAGAGGAGGATCATCATCATCAAAAGTAGGAGGATAATAAACAAATATTGAAAATGATGTTATTTTTTTATTTTTTGTTACTCCTCTAATGACACTGATAATAGTATTACTTATTATTTCTTTCTCTCCAGAATGCCCAATCTTTATTTCTTCCAATGTTGAATTCTTTGCTATACATTTCTCAAGTTCAGCACATTTGTCTGCGTATGTATTGCCAACTGTTGGTGTATTGGTCATTGTCAAGTGCAGTATCTTCAACTGGTGAAGATTGAGGAGCTGTAACAATACAAGACAAGAAACATATTGGCCTGATACTAATTCACAGTAGCACTCCTGAATATTGTATAGAAGTGATGATTGTAATAATTTTTGTATTACTTCGTCAGTGGGATCATCCAAATTTACCTCCATTCTCTTACATTGGGTTTGTAGTAAGTTGTTGGTTAGTCCAGCAGTGAAGACTGATATTGCCTGTTTAGATACATCCCCCAATTGCAAGTGATTCCATATTGTGTTTGAATTGTTTATAAAATAACTGAGACACAGCCAGTCAAATAATGATAATGATACTCTATCACTATTCAAACACAGTGAGTGGTTCTTGATAGATTGTGTAAATACTTGACATAATGTTGTGCTCTGTGATTCATACAATAGTTGAAAAAGAAGAATAGGAACTTTGTCGAAATCATCTGATTGCTTAATATGACCATAATTTCTAATTTCAAAATTTTGAAAGAAGTAGGAGAGATGACAACTTTCAAATCCAAACAATGGTACTCTCTTGCATCGTAAGTCAAGTTGTTTAGTAAAATACTGTTGATAGCTCTTATTTTCAGGATGAGTTAGACCTGCAACAAACCTGAGACACATTCGAAAGTGATCATCATCAAAGTGAACCTGAAACACTTCCTCTGTTTTTTCATGCTTAACTATCCACCATGCAGCTAGAAATTCCTGTATGCTCAAGTGAAGGAACTGATACTTCTCCTCATCATATTCTGTGAATCTTGTCATCAATCCAAGATAGTCTTCCTTGACCACCTCACTCAGTGACTGTAGTTCGTGTAAAGAAAATACCATTTTTGTATTATTAGCCAGATTAGTGTAAGCTATTTGACACATATCTTCTAAAGGTCTGCATAATTCTGATGGTAATGAGGAAAGGCTAGCTAAAGTACATGGGTTAATATCATGCCTTTTGACATGTCTTCTGATAGTCTGTAGGATGAAGTTCTCATACAATAGAGTGAGTGTTGTTGGTAAGTGTCCTCCTTCCTTACAGTAAACTAAGATGACCATGGAACAGACTAATGGTATATAACACAATGATAAGACATCACTTCGTACTTTAAGATCATTAATGAGTTTCACTGCTAATTGTGAGTCCTTATTGCTTTGAACAGTTGCAAAAAGTGGTTTGTATTCTACATGTGAATTTAGTTCTTGAGACTGACTTAAGCTTGCCCAAAAAAAGGATCTACTTGAAATTCTATTTTCATCAATAAGTTCTTGTGCAAGTTTCTCATCTTTTTGAAGCGCTTGTATAATTACTGTTGATATTTCATGCTTTAAAAAACCAATGACCTGAACATGTCTACTGAGATTATTCATCTCTAAAAGGGGAACAGATGCATAGCTACGAGAAGTAACAACCACTGAACAGTGACGTAATTGTTTTCTATGAATGATACTAGTAGCTATTGAAGATTTTTTGAGTTGTTCACTTAGCTCATCCCAACCATCAAAAATTATCAGTAATCCTTTTCCCTCTCTATCTGACAACCAATCAACTGCTTTTGAAACTTTAGGACTTTTAAACTCAAACAGTTCTGCTAGTGTAGTAGCTGTAGCTATCTGGCTACTCCTTAAAGGACAATAAAGTACCAAGTCATACTGTTGGGGTACTAATGTTCCATTAGACCACATATTTAACAGCTTATGACAGAGTACTGTTTTTCCAATGCCAGGAGGACCATCTATTACTACTCTGAGAGACAGAGAATTTTCTGTGGGTTTTAGAACATCTTCAACACTTATCTCTTTGTTTTTAGCTAGTTTCACAATTTTATCAACTTGTCCTCTTAGCAAATGCCAAGCTGATTCTGCTTGTGTACTGTGGTCTTGTTTTTCAACTAATGCTAATCTCCCAAAAAAGTCCTTTCCAATTCTTGGAGGCCAGTCTGTAGCAACAATAGGTTGATGTTTGTAGTATTGTCTCATATCATCAGCATACACTTGAACATCATCAGGTATTGAACTAACATTAGATTGACCTATTAATCAAAATACATAAAAATAATAATGTTACCACGTATCACTGTGATTACCTTTTATTGGGGTATCATTAATAGGATCAAGTGGTGGTAGTACATCAGATACTGACTGACCTAATGCAATGATTTCATGATGAGTATACTAATAATAATAATACATGCATACACTTACCTAACTGATGCAATATAGAGGTAGTAATATCTGTTAGTGTACAATCTTGTTGGTTCAATAATACACGACATTATATATCAGTGAGATACTGGACTGGATTAAGAGAAGATTCTAACTGTTGTTCAATGACATTCACAAGTTTAGTAGCTTTAGTATAACTGTCAACTGCTGGTACAAGCATCTCTTGTCTAAATAGTTTGGGTATTAATCTTGCAGCATGAAGCTCATTTGTTATGTTTAATAAATTACTACAAATGACACTAATGAGTTTACTGGAATGACTTCTTAATACATCCTTTGGATTACCTGCATGCAATGTATCAGTTATGTATGTTGTTAAATATCTGTTTACCTGTTAGAGGACCGGGATTGAGTTCAACATCTCCCGATAAGAGGAGCAGCTTACGGAGGCAAACAGTCAAATAGAGATCATTGCAGCTCAGACCTTTAGATAAGGCTACTGACTGGAGGTAGTTCACATCAGTATTACACTGTACTTGATGGTAGTTAAAGTTACCTGTAATAAAATACCAAAATAGGCAAGTAGATCTAGTCTACAAATTTGCAATTGTTAATTGCTTACATGTTAAAGGAATCATTAAGATGTGTATTGATAAAGAAACAGAGAGAAAGAGAATAAGAAAGAGGAGGTTAGGTGCTGGAAGTTTAGATGCTGTTCCTCCAAATTTTATAGTACTGCTTGGCTTGCTGTTCATTGTAGCTTTCAATGAGTGAGAATGGTAGCAGCCAATAGCTGGTCTCCTGGAGGCAGCTTGACAGCAGTTCCACAGTCCAATGCTTGCTCTCCATTGAGAAACATCAATCATCTTGTATAATAAATATTAGCTCTACCTCTATCACTATGAAAAAACAATAAACAACTATAAAAGTGGGAGGAATCATAAGAATGTACTGTCAAAACTCTCTATTATTGTATGAGTACAACAGCTTTGATTAATGTCACATTGTACATAGCTGCATATACATTTTTTCTCACTATGATGCCTACTACATTATCAGCATTATGCACAATGATGTTTTGTGTATAATTATCTATGGCATAACACATTATGGTCACAAAGTTAAGGGTGTGGCTCGTATTATTTTGTTACAAAAAATAAATTAACAATAATGAAGCATTTAGTAACTTTTTATCCCTGCTAACAAAAAATACGTAGCTCCAGTCCTACTTATACATGCAGCCATGTAGCTCAATTATGATGCACATGCAATCTAATAGTAGTATAGCACAGGTAATTTACCTGTACTATACTACTATTAGTGAGGTAATAGTGATGATGATGATGATGATGATGATGATGATGATGATGATGATGATGATGATGACATTTACAAAGGGGGTTCCCCTGAGGATTCCCCACCCTCCTTTTTAATTAGGCCTAGGTACAACAGCTGAGCGTAGGAATACTGGTAGCTGTACCTGTCAGGCGTCGATCTGGTCTGCTTAGTTTGTGATGGCTGATAGAAGATATAGAGCTCCAAGTATCGACACAAGACTCCACGAAGCAACTAAGAAAAAGGTAGTTGATAGCGTGGCCATGACCTCATGACATAAGTTCACTTAACCCCATCTCTCTTTATTTATAGGATGTAACAAGTCTCCTCTCACAGGATCCTCCAGTTGATGTTAATGGTTTAAACGAAGAAGGCAACACTGCTCTGCATTGCTACATTAACAGGCGAAGGAGTGAAGGTTACCCTCTCCTCCTTTGCCTACTCACAAACTGTGATACTGATAGAATCGATCTTGATGCACCCGGGTCACTTCTTAACACACCACTGCATCTTGCAGCTCAAGTAATCTAATATTAAATGTACAAATTATTTTGAGGGGAATTAGGGTTATGTCTTTAGTCATAAGGTACAAACCCAAAACCCCTCCATTCAATCATGTACACATACAAATATCGTCTGCATATGTATTACCATATAGCTGGTAATTTTGGAGGGGAGAAATTTTGGCAAATGGTGATTGGTGGGTTTTAGTTCGAATTTGTGGCCATGTGCCATTGATTATGTGCTTAAATGGTACAAAATGGCAGGTTTTAATTTGGCAAATAAGATGACTATCATAATGCAAAATTCGCCTCCTCCAAAATTACCCATTATATATACAGTATTAATCTAATATCACAAAGGATAAAAACTTTATGTACTTGCATCACTTGTTATATCTTTACAGATTGGGGATATTGATGCTGCCAAAGCTCTGATAGCATTTGGAGCTGATATTGATGCACTCAACATTAACCAGGAAACCCCATTGGACATTGCCTGTAACGATGAGATGAGAGAGCTCCTCTTCTTTGTTGGTAGTGAAGCTGGCGATTGTGTCAGACAAAGGCTGGATAATTTTAAACAGCTACCACCTCCTGCAATAGTCCGCACAGTATCCATTGATGATGGTGTTGATTGGAGAGAGCTATCACAATCAACTGATTTAACCAGTTTAACTTCTTCAATACCTGCTGCTGCTATGGATAGCTATAGTGTGTGGCTACGGTGGAGAGAAAAACAAAAGGTTGAGTTACTAGTATTGTGACTGTGCTTAATGATTAAATGCTCATAATTTCACTGTACTTTTGTCATCTTATATTACACTTTATCAAGAGTACACTATTACTTTTATTGGTAGAGTTGATTTTATCAGTCATGAGAGAATATCTCTTACAATAGCTTTATCAAAACGTTACTCATTTTGTATTAATTTTATTTGACAGACTCTACAGGAGCAGAAGAAGCGGAGAAGCTCCTTTAAAAGAAGAGACCATCGCTCTGCTCCTCCTCCTGTTTTCAAAGCGAGGGAGGGACACCGTGTCCTGTGTCTTGATGGAGGAGGAATGAGAGGATTAATACTAATAGAAGTATTGAGCTACATTGCACAAACAAGTGGCCGAAAGATAACTGATCTATTTGAATGGATAGTAGCAACCAGCACTGGAGCAATTGTAGCACTAGGACTAGCTTATGGTGAGATACACTATTGAAAGTCAGTTTGTGCTTTAGATATTAGAGCTGGAAACTAATATCCAGGAACTAGTTTCTGGCTGTAATATTTATGGTTTGTGTGTGAGTAGAGTTTTATTAATCAATTAGAAAATTATTTTATTTAACTTTTGTTTTTAGCCGATTTGAATCTGCAGCAAGTGAGGCAGTTGTACTTTGAAATGAAAGAAAAAGTTTTTGGTAAAACTCGTCTTGGATACTGTTGTGACACTGAAGCTAAAGAAGAGCTATTAAAGAGAGTGTTTGGAGATAAAAGAATGCTACCACTGGATAATGGCCCCAAGTATGAACATCAACATGCGCTGTAGTGACATATTTGTGGGTTAAATTTATTTGTTATTAATTATAGGATACTAATCAGCACAGTTGACAAAACAACAGACAAATTAGAGCTTAACTGGTTCAACAATTTTCGTGAAGATGACAAGACCTTATATGGAAGTAAGGACACGCTTACATTGACATTATTATTATTATTATTATTATTATTATTATTATTATTATTATTATTATTATTATTATTATTATTATTATTATTATTATTATTATTACATTATTACATTATTATTATTACATTATTATTATTATTATTATTATTATTATTATTATTATTATTATTATTATTATTGTTATTATTATTATTATTATTATTATTATTATTATTATTATTGTTATTATTATTATTATTATTATTATTATTATTATTATTATTATTATTATTATTATTATTATCACTATTAGGGCCACTGTGGGAAGTGGCACGGGCCACAGCTGCTGCTCCAGGTTTCTTCAGCCCATTAAAGCAATGCATTGATGGCAGAGAGAGAGAGTTCATTGATGGAGGACTCAGAGCCAACAATCCTTCAGAGAGCGGACTTACCATCATACAAGACTACCTGAGGCAGTGCAGTGAGAGTGGGGCTGGACATAAAAGAGTTTCTTTGGTCGTATCAATCGGTTGTGGGGATTTCCCTGGCAGAGAGCTTGGAGATTTGGATCTAGAGAAGTATCTGTTTCCCGGGAAAAATTTCCCTTGGCTTCCAAGTATTATCAAGACTTGCAAGAATTTAATGACAATGTTCATCAACGCTGTAAGTTAGTGATATAGAAATTAGTTACTGTGAGTGTTGTGCATGATTATGAGTTTAGGACTATGCATAACATGCTATTAATTTATTCTTTATGTACCAAAAAACTGTTAATTTTTTGAGGTAGAATTTTGGCATTTTTGATAACCATAATAGTTGCATGCTCTCTCAATGGCACACATAAAAACATGCCAATGATCAAAATTTAGCAATTCAACAAAATTACGAGCAATTATGGTACGTTTTGTTTCATATTTATGCTCTTGTTTTAAAAGTTTGATTAACAAATTCTGCACAATCACCACATGTGTCAAAACTATTAAGACGGATTTACAATATGACATTAGGCCAGCGTACCATCAATTTTTAATCAAAAGTGTGGGCGATTTGACCTTTTGACGCATGCTTTCCACTGGAATAGAACCAGATTCTATTTCAGCGTCAACGTAACGTCAGGACTAGCGTAATATTGTAAATCCGCCTTTAGTCCTCATTATGTACACCACGTAAACTACTTGTATTCAGGGTTTGCCACAGGATTTTGGCATAGCTTGTTGTCAGTGTAAAAATTGGGCCGAAGACTCTGTACTATAATACAGGGAATTTTCTAAAAAATGGCTAGGGGAGAATTCTTCATTTTTATTACATCTACTGATACATTTACATGTACTTATGGCGTGTAGAAAGTTTGAGCTGATTCTGATTAAAATTGGATTTAAAAAATTTTTTTAAGTTACTCAAAAGTCGGGCCAATTGATTCCTCATAATTTTGCAAAAAATGAAAAAGAGAATTTTTATAATTTTATGATTTTATCTGATGCACTTATGTTGTGTAGAAAGTTTGAGCTGATTCCGATTAGATTTGGATTTTAAAAAATTTTAAGTAGTTAAAAAATCGGTTCAAAGTCCCTGTACTATAGTACAGAGTCATCAGCCAAATTTTGTGAAAAATGAAAAATAGAGATTTTTCCAATTTTATAATATTTTCTGATGCATATACATGTACTTATGTTGTGTAGAAAATTTGAGCTAATTCCGATTAGATTTAAATTTTTTTAAAATTTAAGTTGCTCAAAAATCGATTCAAAGTCCCTTTACTATATACAGCGTCATCAGCCAAATTTTGTGAAAAATAAAAACAGAGATTTCTCCAATTTTGTAATGTTTTCTGATGCATATACATGTACTTATGTTGTGTAAAAAATTTGAGCTGATTCCGATTAGATTTGGATTAAAGAAAATTTTTTTAAGTTGCTCAAAAATCAGTTCAAAGTCCCTATACTAGTAAGGTCATCAGCCAAATTTTGTGAAAAATGAAAAACAGAGATTTCTCCAATTTTGTAATATTTTCTGATGCATATACATGTACTTATGTTGTGTAGAAAGTTTGAGCTGATTCTGATTAGATTTGGATTTAAAAAAATTTTTTTAATTTGCTCAAAAATCGGTTCAAAGTCCCTGTACTATAGTACAGGGTCATCGACCAAATTTTGTGAAAAATGAAAAACAGGAATTTCTCTAATTTTATAATATTTTCTGATGCATATACATGTATTTATGTTGTGTAGAAAGTTTGAGCTGATTGCAATCAAAATGGAATTTTTTACAAATTTTCAAGTTGCTGAGAAATCAGACCAAAGCCCCTGTACTATGTACTTATTTCAAATAGAAATTTTTAACTGATTCCAATCAAAGTTAGATGAAGCATTCTGTTTATAAGCATGCTTTGTAAGAAACCCTGCTTGCTTTTACAGGTCGGTTTGCTTTTTTAATGTCTTTCAATAGATTGATAACTCAGAAGGGGCAGCATCTAACACTCGGTCTAGATGTCAAGAGCAAGGCGTAGCTTTTTATCGATTTAATCCAAAGTTTGACGAAGAAATTAGTCTCACAGAAACCGAAGATAAAATACTTTGTAACATGATTATTTCTGCTCGTGTGCATATTATCAGCAAACTGACACATATGGAAGAAATCATACAGAGTTTCTATGAAGAAAATCAATGATGATTTTTATTTAATTTGTTTTACCATTTTACATCAATGCACAACAGTTATATTATTGATTTATGATTTCTTTTCTTATTATTGATTGTTTTTAAAATTTGAAATTAAAAATCGATTTTAATAAATTTATAAAGTTGCTAGTCGAAAGTTCAGCCAATGACCATGGACTATAGTACAGAGTATTTTTTCAGAAATGACTATGATTCATATTTTTGTTGCGTATTGTGATTCATTTACAGAAGTGACAGCTTATGTAATCACTCATTATGACATAAAATTAAAAAAATAAAGTTGTGGCCTAGCAAGGCATGCATTTTCTCAGTGAATTGATGCTATACAAGATTATGTAAAAGGGTGGAAAAGGACAATGACTATAAATGGGCATAATAAACATTCCCTGGGCTTAAAAGCTCAGTCATGTATAACTAATATTAGTCAGTATAGTAGTATATTTTTAGTGCTAATTAATGCTCCAGGGAACATCATGTAATCACTCCCACACAAGCTGCAATGTGTCATACTTGTTATGTTATTTTTGGGAGATACATGTGCACATAGCTTTTGCTACAATTTGCATACACTGTAGAAGATACACACAGAGGAACAGGAATTGAATGAAGTTAGCCTTTTTTAAAATAACAAACTTATGTCACATTTTAGTACAGTTTCAAGCCATACGTATTGTGTTGGAATCAACCTCTTGCAATTCATGGCATAAGACTGCAAATTTATTTCGTATTAAAACCAATAAAATCTTTAATATATAACTTGATACAGTAATAAGTGAATTAATATCAATGATTAACTATTACAAAAATCACTACAGTATATTTTAAAAGCCTGATCCCTCTATTTCTTCATCCTCTTTTTCCTCTGTTGTATTCTCTTCAGTAGATATTGGGCATTCAAATTGTAACTTAAACCCTGCACCTTGTGTGAAATCTTTCTCACTCAAAAAGAGAAGCATAAAGTTTGAAGTCTTTATGTATCGATTGGTAATTGAGGTTTCATCATCACCAGTTATTGGTTGATAGATTGTATTTGATTCTCTATCAATGATTTCTATTGAGTCTCCTTCAGCTAGATCTATCTCTGAAGATTGTTGTGAGATTGAAATGTGGCTACCTTTGCAAGGCATTTGTACATTGTAGATACATATCTCACTGCTTGAATAATTGCTACAACCATAGCGTGGTGATTTAACCACCGAGATACCATGCCTTCCAGTGAAGACAGTGTTTAAAAGGTCATCTTCTACTCCAACTCCACATCCATCTATTGTCTTAGGATTGTATAGTTTACAGACTG